AACACAAAACAGCAAACAAGCTCGTTTTCGGTGCTACCTCAACTGGCTAACTACAGCACAATTTACAACAGATTAAAACAGATGGGGAGAGGAGACAAATATCTGCGAATGAAATCAGAGGATAAGGAGAGATGATGGACTTGTGATAATTGATATTCGTGAGTTTGTATGTCTGTGTGCGTGCGTGGAAAGTGAGACAGAGTGTTTGTGAATAGATGGATAGGTGAATGAGTGGTCGATCATAAACGGAGGTTACGTCACCAGATTGTTAGTGGTTGGCCATGGTAAGACCAATGTTCTTACAAACTGTTTCTGGGCTCACAAGGGGGGGGGGGTTGTGGAGGCGGATGACAATCGTCTCGGCTGCTGACAAAATTCTGAACTTGATCTCTTTGGATAACCTACCTTTGACCGTATAGAAAGAAAGGAAGGCCTCAAGCACTTTGATTGTGTAATTAGACTCAGTCAAATGGTTCGTAATTGCCGTCACCCCTGGTTCAACCAAACGGTTTACTAATTGGATTGTTTCTTCCGGGAAGTGTGTTGAGAATTTTTGCTTCAACCCGAAATTCTTGTCACAAGTCTTCACCATATAGGGGCACTTCAAACCCACAAGGTTATATTACTCACTATTTTTTGTCTTAATTTTTTCAATCTACGCCCGATGTTTGAGGTAAAGTTTGTTGAACACAACTCATGACTCGATTCAAACCATCTGTCATCCTGTACTGTAGACCGTCTCGGAAGGAAGCAGAAGCTGCTGCACGCGCGGTCATGGATCCGTTAAAATTGAAATCCGAGCTGGAATTGGCCAGTGATTTGGCTCGTCTTGCTTTGGTTCGCAAAGAACGGGAACAAGCAGCGCTCAAACGGGAACAGGAGAAACAGGGTGAGAGTTGTCACACATTCTGATCAGACGCTTATATCAGTTTGACTTTACCGGACTCGAGCTGCGAGGAGTTTATCGGTATTTAAAAAGTCTCCGTTAACCTTGATCATTCGTTCACAACGGATAACCTACACGAAAAGACCAGTACGCGACCTTGGGCTCGTTCTATATAGGCGTCCTTTTTCTCTTCTGCCCTGGAGGTCTGCTCCTCCGAAACGACTCGAACCACTCCTTATATAAGACTCACAATTCCAATATTCGACAGCTCGTTGATGATCGAATGTTGTTAGAAGAAAAAAGCTGATAGTTTCTAACACACATGGCATTCCTTTTCGCCCGTTCGCCGAGCTTGGCAATTTGTTTGCAAACCTTTCATCGTGAGCCGAGGTGATCTCATCAATGCTTTCCTTCACGAATGCCTCGGAGTGTATATCATAGACCACCGATCAATCATCCAGAAGCCTGTGAGATTTCACAACGATTCGGAAGACGCATGGTGCGCATGATGATCTCGGCCGCTCACAGAGGTCTTACCATGCACAAGGAGGTTATACAAGAATAACAGGAGAACTGTCGAACTATATTGAGAGAACGACAGATGAAACAGCGGGAAGTCGACTTGCCAAAAATGTCAAAAGAAAAAACTAGCACTCTCAAGAAAGCTCCACAAGTTGGATCATCATGTGCTAATCGACGAAGATGAGAACTGGGTCCGCAATCTCTTCCATCGCGTGATCACACAGGATGAAAAACGAATCCTCATTAAAGGACAGGCTACTTCACAAGCACTGATGATGTCACCTCGGCTGATGATGAAACGTTTGAAAACAAGTTGCCAAGCTCGGCGGACAGGCAAAATGGAATTCAGTTCACCCGGGCCACGAGAACCGATTTTCAATACTTTTTTGAATGAACAGCAGACGGGGTAACCCCCATAGGCACGAGGACCTACTGTTCAATGATGGAAACCGGTAACCTACACCCCGGGACTTGGAGTGGTGAACTATAGGTTGGGTGTGGTATTGAACCGGACGTCGGCAGAGCTGCCTACCACCAAAGTCGGATGGCGGTGGCGGGGCTGAAACTTAGGACCACAGGGTCCACAGCACGCCGGTGAAAGCGACTAAACCACTGCGCCACCACCACTCGTGGCACCTTCACTTTTTCCACCCAATACTTGTCTCAGCAAACATCGCGTGCCATGGAAATCTATTTGGAGTCATGCACAACACATGCCCCATATGACGGAGTGTGGAGTTCGATCACTTGCTCCAGTGGGCGACCGTGGATACCCAAAACTCTGCACCTCAGCTCAACGTTGTTCGTCCGGTCGCCCCACCAGATTCGTGAAATGCTTCGTAGAAAGCGAAGTTCGAACAATGACAGTCTATCATTATCTTGTTTTCGTAATGCCCAAGTCTCTGTACCTAATCAATGCTTGGGGACGCTGAGTGACATGGCTGTGCTAACAATTTACGCACATGCGTTTAAT